TGTAAGAAATTTTTAGTGATAAGATTAATTGTACTTTGGCTACTTCTTATAATGTTCGGCAGAATGACGTTTTTGACTTCAGGAGAAATGATCGAGGAAGAAAAAAGCAGGAAAGAATAATAATAATAATAATAATAATAAACTTTTAAAAAATAATAGTTTATTTCACATAAATCAAGTTACTAGACAGGATAAATAATTATTTCTAAGTTGAAAGAAACTATTTGAATTTCTTACATATAAACACAAAAAAAAATGGTGGAGAGTTGAATTCGTAGACATTTTTTATAGAATATTGATTAAAGATTTGGAGAATAGACGAAGTTTGTATACTATTTCGAAGTATAGACAATACGTGAACTAGTATTTCCTGCAGCTAATCAATAGGATACTCTAATAGTCATGACTGGATCGGAACCGGCGAGAGAGGGAGACGGAGAGAGGAGAACTTAATGAATTTGGTTGAATGTTTTATATTCACATTCGAAAAGATCGGTTGGCAAAATGATTAAAAAAACCCATTCATCATTTAGTGCTTAGATTAGAATATACTAATTGAGTAACTGACAATTTAGTCTGTTATAATAACACCAACCCTCTTAATGAGTAGATTTAGTTTCCTTTTAAAAAGACTGAATGATTGAGTTGATGATTACTTGTTCCAGTGATGATGATCAGATGTGGAAGGGAAAACTTAACCTGAGTTTATAAAATTTTCATTTTTGAACTCGTAAAGTAACATTAACAATTTGAATGCCGGCTCAGTGGTTCAGAGGTTAAGCATTCACACACAAGACCGAAGGTCTTGGGTTTGATTCCAGCGAGTAGCAAAAGTCGTGGATGCGCAGTGTTGAGGAGTCTCATACCAAGACAAAACGGCTGTCCAGTGCTTCCAGGTTTCTAATGGTGGTCTAACACTGATCGATTCGTGATTTTATAGTAAATCAACAATCTACACAACCCTAAATTGAGAATCTTTTCTTGAAAATTTTAATAATTTGCGCTAAAGTGTGTCTAAAGATAACAATTGCTGTCAGTTAAGTCATTTTTAAGATAAAGAATACTAGTATAAGAACATGCCTTATTTTTATGATAAGAGAATAATCATTTGATGCAATCGAACATCACAAGTGGTAAAACAATTTGAAAATAAGTGTTAAGTTGTGAATAGACTAGGCTTTGATTGGAATCCTAAATAAAACCTATAGTGCTAATATTTTCACACCTAAATAAAATTAATTATTAAGATTTCTCAAATATTAAGTTCAGTAAACCTGGTAAGAAGCGTTAAAAAAACCAATAAGCTTTCTAACATCAGTTCATTAGTTGTCCAGCTTAATATTTTTGATTTATACGGATTCTCTGTTTTAATCAGCTGATGAGTGACTTCGAAACTTCAAGATCATTTTACTATCGATTTTGCTAGGTCACTGACTGACGTTATACACAACAAAATATTAACGTTTTAAACTGAAAGAAATGGTTTAATGGAAACATTACAATAAAAATGACTTATAAGGATTAGCGAACGAGGAATGAGATCCCATTAAGTTGATCAGAAAATAGACAGAAAAATGGTTGATTTAAAGTGCTAGAGTTCAGATTTCAGATTAAGATGTAGCATTTCGGTTATGAATTGAATTAGGTTTTATAAGTTAGCTCATTTGCACTGCAATTGTAAATCCATTTCTAAATCAACATTCACCCTGAATCCTAAACTATGAACATTAATTTGAAAGCGTACAACTTAACCACAAGTATCTGCGTTTAATGCTAAGAACTGTTTTGAAATATGCTTTGTGACCTTGAAGCCACTTGCTTGCTCCTGATTGGCTCATCCTTTTAAGAAAAGTTAAACCTAAAGGATGACTATGATTTGAATTGACTCATGGTATATGAGCCGACAGAGCAAACTGCTAGTTATCTGTGAGGAAATTCTCATAGTCACTTCTTCTAAAAGCATATACTGATGATATTTTTCGGAAAGGTAGTGAAAGCTTCATAATTTAACTATTCAAACTCAAACAGAATAGCACTTTCGAGACGTTACAAATTTCGGTCATCGTAATCTCTAACAAGCTACTGTTTGACAGTTGATAACACTACTTCGTTAATACAATCTTAGAGGACGAAACATGGTTTGAAGATATGATTGTCATACTTTATACATTTATCAGTGACCAGACTTTATTAGATTAGGATTTCTATTACTTTATGATATTATCAGATATGGCTTAGTGCGTTAGTTCTACTTATATTTTCTAGTATCATTTCAGTCTTAGAAAGTGACTTGTTTCCAAACGAATTACTAAACGTTCAAGTGGGAAACTGTGATTTAATTTAGGAGTGAAATATATCAATTTATTAATGATACTGTAATATATCATCAACTAATTGATTTTCGAAAACATAAACCTACAAAATGAGTTAATAATGGTCAATTTTTATACTACTTTCTGAAACAAACAATGAAAAGGCATTATCAATCTAAGTTTTGTATCAGTTTGAGACAGCCACCAATTAGGAATGAATGTAAATTTCTGTAATAGTGCTATGGTGGGTGGATAAGTACATCAATTTATATATTCTCATAGATTTAAAATAACAATGATATTCAAAGAGGTTCATAGTTTAAATCACGAATTAACTTTAGCTAACCAACCATTGGGAACTCGGAATCACTGAACATCTGTCTCTGCCTATTGTGAGACTCTTTATTAATGAGTATCCAAGAACCTAAATCCAGGAGTCGAAACTCAGATCTCGCGCAATAACGGTTAACCCTCACACCATTGAGCCTGGGTCTAACCTGGTCCAGCTCATGTTGTTACACTACCCTTACCGATTGTCTGACGTGGATAACTTACATAACTGAACGCCGCTGGTTACAGCTAACTATTACTCCATGTGTTGCATCTTAAAGCCAACCCTTAGTAGGCACGTGATCATCATTAGAATAGAGAGATTTGTAGAGAATTCGTCACTGCAAATAGAAATTTAACTATGTTTGCTTGGCATCTTAAAGTGTCGAAACAAATTCATTTCGTAGTAAGCATGAACTTCTCAGACCTTCAGACTTTATTAGACAATATTCAGATATCTTTTAAGCAACGATAAAAATAACAATTTTCAGCTGAATCGAGTGTTGAAAGTTTTCTTCTGTTAATTCATTCAATAATGGATGTTGTGAAACAATGATTCGTCATTTCAGTGTAGATAATACTAGTCACATAATCACTGCTAATTACTTCATAACTCACTTGATTATCATGAACTGGATAGTTAGGCTAGGTTGAAACATCTTACTGTTGAAAAAAATATATATTTGCACAGAAATAAAGACTGTTTGATCAGTTTTCAGAGGCTGATATAAATCATATGGCAGATGAAAGGAGATTCATGATACTGAGGAATTAGCAGAGGGACAGATAAGTTTCTAAGTAAACCTATGTAACTGAATATTCAAATCCATGGAAGTAGAATATTAGAAATAAATACTCAGAAAATATATTCCACCCGTAACTAGGGGAGTTTGAAGGAATTTCTAGCAATTATCAAAGTGATTGGAAATTCTCTATTGAACTGAGTCATGTTGGTAGATGTAGGCTACCTGGGTGGGGTCGGTGAGACAAAAGTAATCGATAGTTAGAGACCTTGAACAACATGGATCAAAATCGTTTGCAATGAAGCAGGTGCATTCATTCATTGTGTTCTCTTAAATTCTAATCTTCTGAATTCCTTATCATCTCTATCTTTCTCTTTCTAACGTTATCTCACTGAATTATACTTCTTGAATAATTTCTTCAAATCCTAATCTTCTCCAATATCAATAATACTTCTACTATCTCTACCACTATGGGATTTGAATTGACAATTATATCTCTGTGCTAATGTGGTATGGCAACCTGAACTTATGTACTGATGTACGAAGTTCTACATTATAACTGACTGACCGACTCCATTGAACAGTGAATATATAGAAACTTAGTAAATAAATCTATCAATCATGTAAAATCTTTCTACTTGCAGTTGTTTTAAGCTCATTTCTTGTTACAGATTGAAAAACTCATGCAAGTATTGCTAATTATAAATTTTTCTTAAAAAAAATCTCTCTAGTCTCACACACAATGACTAATTGTTATCAACAGCTCTTGTTATATATTAAATGTAAATAAATTCTAGGTGTTTATTCTGAGTCGTAAGCTTTATCGTATTCTTTCATTTTCCAACTTTTCAGGTGTATGCTTCTACCACCCAGTACTAGCACCTAAAAGCATAGTTAGGCTTAGATGTGAAATATTTCAGAAATTTTTAATATACTTTCTTTTTTTACCTAAGCTTTTTTAATTCACAATATCAAAGAAAATAAATCAGATATATACATTTTTATTGAAACCATGAATCGATCAATGTTAGACCATCATTAGAAACTTGGAAGCACTGAAAGACGGCCGTTTCGTCCTGGTATGGGATTCCTCAGCAGTGCGCATCCACGATTCACGGTTTCAAAAATGTGTAACTTAACAATCTTCACAACCCCGTAATGCAAATTACCTGTGCTCACTAGTGACTAGCTTCGTGAGGAATCATCTCCGAGTCCTAGTGGGAAGACGTGACTAGTGAATTTCAACCTGTTCGAATGTAGACAGTAACTACCGAAAACTGTGTATGAGGTTGCGCAGCTCCATGAATCGATCAAGTTAGACGTTAACACCGTTAGATACCGGCTCAGTGGTCCAGAGGTTAGGCGTTCGCGCACAATATCGAAGGTCCTGGGTTCGAATCCTGCGGAGTGCGGGAGTCGTGGATGCGCACTGTTGAGGAGTCCCATACCAGGACGAGACGGTCGTCTTTCAGTGCTTCCAGGTTTCAGTAAAATTTAACAATCTTCACAACCCCGTAATACATATATATTTTTATAAATATGTTGAAAAGCCACATTTTATTCACAAACTATTTACATATATATATATATATATATATATATATATATATATATATAGATTTACTATGAAATTAATAAAAGGAAGCAAAGGAATAAAGACTAAGTGGTTGTTGTTTTCACTTTCAATACAGTTAATTGATTGTAACGCTGAGAACTGGTTGCTGGTGATGAGAATAAATTAAAAAATGACGATATTATGCGTGGCATTAATCCAACAGATAAAATTCCAGTCCATCCTAAATTAATACCATCACCATCACCAGCCCATAATTCATTGCCAGAATGATTGAATCGATTTCTTTGATAATAGTTTGCATTTTTTTGTTGTGACTCATTGGATAATTGTTTTTGTATGATTACTGGATCAAGTGGATCATTTTCAGATTTGGGAAGATAATAATCTAAGTGAAAAGAAAAAAGAAAATTAAAATGAATGAATCATGTTTGATGATTACTTGAAAATTAAATTATCTAACGTAGTAGTAGTAGTAGTAATATTAGTTGTGTTAATTTGTGAATGAATATTAATTTACAAATACTAATCGTCATTTAATCAAATCAAGTTAGTTACGTGTCAAATCTTGCACTAGTAAACAGTAGCAGCGATACTAGAAGTATTAGCAGTAATGCAGAAGATTAGGGTTAGAAGATATTATTCAAGAAGTATAATTCAGTGAGATAATTTTAGAAAGAGAAAGATAGAGATGATGAGGAATTCATAAGGTTAGAGCTTTATAGAACACAGCCAGTGGATGCACCCGCGCCGTTGCAAACGATTTTGAGCCATGTCAAGTGGGAAATAATATTAAAAACGCATAACTGGAACATGAAAACTACAATCTGAAAGAAAAAACAATGAGACTGAAGAGTAAAAAGATGGAAATTTTGCTAAACTAAACCTGAGTCTTAGGGAAGGTAGAAAGAAAATAGTCTATTTAGTCAAATTGACGAATTTTGTGCTCTATTACCCTTCTGATCCTAATAAGAGACGTAAGGAAAACTTAAGAAAACGAACTTTTAGAAAGTTTATGTTCTTTTTTGGTGTACCTTTCAGTTAAACTCTTTGGTAAAATCAGGAAGTACATTTGTATTAGACATTGGTAAGATGAAGATGGATGAATATTCAATTTACACAATATATTTCGGTTTGGAATTAGCTTAATTTTAATGGGTGTTTTTCATGAGATACAGTTGGTTGGATGGTTATTAATGCCAATATATTGGACATTATAACAGTTTGTGTGAATTCTCCATGGTTATCAGATGAGAATTTCTGTTTTTTGTCATGACATGAGACAATCAGCCTTTATGAACAGTTTGGCAGAACTAAGTCCACCTCACAAACTCTACCTAATATCTCAACCAGTCTAACTGCTGTAACTGAATCACCGTCCCTGAAAACCTCCGAAAATGACCGATTAAAGTCAGCTGCTTCATCTAAGTTTAATATTAGATATCATCCTTTTAACTTCAATAAGAGTTCCAAAGCTGATATCGATCTTTCAACCAAGCTGTTGATGAACAGCAGATGGTGGGGGAATAGTTAAAAGGTCATTTAAACTGTCCCTTAAAATATTCACCTTAGTGTTTTAGTCAGCTCATTCTTTTTTCACCAAAACATTTTTGTTCGGTTTAACGGCTTAACGGGTCTAATATACATAAAAAAGATAACTACGAATAATGCTGTATAGATCTGACAAATGAAATAATCAGAAAAGGAATTTTCTTCACTGAAATGTCCAAAAAAACTTTTTAGATTCTAAAAGAAAATACATTCGAGTTTTTTTTAACTGGTTTCTAGTTAGAACAACGATAATACATGCTGTTAGTTTGAAACTGTCTTGGATGTTATTAGTTGTTAGGATATTCATCCAATATCCTAAGAGAATTATAGGCCAATTCCTATTGGTTCATTCCTACTGGTCAATTTTATGGTTGTCCTGACTATCAATGTTACTTCAAATGTTGCTTCCTATTGGTCGTCTTAACTGTCAATGTCACAGAATTCGATGCTGTTTCCTATTCGACCAAAATGTATAAATACACATTATCCGTAACGTTTTATGACCACGACCACGACCAGGACCCGGATACCTAGTCCGGGATCCTGACTCTCTTCTGGACTCGGACCTCGTACCTTCTGGATGCTTGTAGAATACAGTTCTACTTCATATCACGTTTTCTTATTTTTACTAAATATGGGGGTTGGGAAAATCGGATTAGAGTAGTATGTCGTGTCGCCGGATCCTCGCTCTCGTTTTCCGACTAGGTAAACTCGTAATAGTTCAAGTATATCAAGTTGACGTGTTTACGTGCAGGCGTAACATTAATAAATGATAACTGATACGAAATAGAAATTTAGAAGATTGACAAGAAAGAAATACATTTATGAACATGTAGAACGAGACGTTTAGCATGATGAATCATTTGATCAATATACTGTAAATATTTAAAAGACTCATCGATTTGAAAAAGAAAAAAACAAAGGAAGATGTCTCTATGAGAAATTGAGTAGCCTTACAAAAAAAACAACTTTTAAAATTTCATTTAAACATACCAGTTTCAGTAGTATTCTTTTCTGAAGATCTTTCATTTTCTAATTGATACTGTGTAACAGGATCAAATTTCATTGTTTCATCATGGTTGTTTGCTTTAATTAAACGTTTTCTTTCTTTAAATTCTTCTTGTCGTTTTGCCCAAAATTGATTCCATCTTAAACGCCAATCATAATATTGAAGACCACCTTGTCTAAATGATTCATCTAAACTGGAAACAATTTGATCAGCTCGTAAACAACAATATCTACGCCAAGCTAATATGATTTGATGTTGACAAAACAATCCGAACAAAGGTATAAGAGTGTAGATTAATACTTTGGAAACTGTTGACATAAGAATAGGCAATTTGAAAGTTCTATTGAGAAGAAATATTGCCTGCATAGAAGATTAAAGAGTACATGAATAACAAGAATAAGACAATTTGATAAACAATAGAGGAAAGAGGTGATAAACTTAAAATGTGATTAGCTGGCAAACATTGAAGTCAGATTTTCAAAAAAAACATAGGTTGTTGTAGGATTCTAACTAAAACAACTATTAAAACACCAGGTTTAGCGAACCGTGGACTGAAACAATGATAAGACACCAAGCTATCAGTAAGAACTTAATTTTCCTGTAAGTGGAATCATCGAGAAAAATCTTAGGAAAGAGAAGTCATTCAGAATATTGAAAACCTTATAATTGAACAATGACATTACCAATATATCAAATGTGTGTATTTATGCGCTTTTATGAAATACATACAACTCATTTCGATGTTAAATATTTTGTTTACTTTCCTTCTTATCTATTCTTTGAAGAAATTAGAAGCGACTATAGTGGGGGGAGGGTTCATGAATTCAATATATACTAAATGACAAAGAAAATAATTACAAATAGGTGAACTGATAAAAAAAGGGTCGTAATTGTATTTTAAATAATTTCAAGTTGTATATATGAATATATATTTTTAGTAATCAAAAAAGATCTACTGGAAAGTACTTTCAGCATATTAAACAATATAAAGTTCACACTGGAAATGAAACCAAATAAAAAATTACTATTCTTGGATATGTTGGCCATCTAGAACAATATGGGAAAATTTGGGATTCAGTATGACCAAATCACTAGGAACCAATAGCTTGCAAACTAAGTTCCATACAATCCCTGTTCGAAAGAGCGAAGACAAATTAAAGGATAACTACAGCAGACAGAAATGAAAGGGAGTTAACAAGCTGGGCAAATCAGATATAGGTCTTGAATGAAATGGTTCAAAACTGTTTGCAATGGCATTGATGCATCCATTCTTTGGCTTCTCTCAAATCCTAATCTTCTGAATTCCTCATGACTTTATCTTTATCTTTTCAAGTTTATTTCACTAGATTCTACTTGTTGAATAATAATGTTGAACCCTAATCTCTCTGATAACTGCTAATACTTCTACTACATCTATTACTATGGGATTTGAACTGACAATCACGTCTGTGTTAATGTGGTATGGCAACTTGAACTGATGTACGTACGTACGAAGTTCTACGTTGTAACTGACTAACTGACTGATATAGGCCAAACAATAAGTGCAAGATGTCGACGGGCCAACGCTACGTGTTGAGATCCAACTTTCTAGGAGTTGAAACACGCTATTAGTGGAAAAATGTGACAAAGTTATAAGATATTGAACAGTTTTAGTCTTGTATTTTGTGTAATCACATGAGCTTCTAGTTTTGAATAATACACAAAATAGTTGTCCGGATTTTTTAACAAGGATTAGGAATGAGTGAGAATATTGAATGGATTATTGTTGGTTTGCACACAGTAGCTGCGCTGGCGAAGATTGTGTTGATAGGTGTAAGGAAAAATTGCAAAAACTAGACGCAACAAATTTATAACAGATATAACTAAGTACTCTGAAAAGAAGTGACGAGACTAAGAGTAAGTATTCTCAGTAAAATCATGAACACTGCATTTAGCTAGCCAAAGAGAATGAAATAGAAATTATATTTAATTTGTGCTGTCTGCGGAAACTGTATACATATCTAAATCCAGAGATATAGTCATAAAAACGAAACGCACATAACATATTGATTTACAAATAAGTATGTGAGATGAACGATTAAGACTTTTAGTAACTCTCACGAATAAAACTTCCAGAGAATGTATGAAATGTTGCCAACTGTTAACGGTGGTAACGCATTGAAGAGAAGTCATTTTTAAGCGGAATAGGGTTTTTAAGTGAAGGTCGGAAAAAAAGTGCAAGGATAATAGAAGACCAGGATGACAACCTATTCCTGTTAGTGAACGTTGAATTTAATCAGTTTCTTTTGTTTTCTGAACACTGGTTTATTGTCACAGTGATTACTAGCAAAATGAATACAGGAAAGTTGTCTGTACATACGATCCTAGAAACGAATATTTTAGGCTAAAAAATATGAAATGTTGAGGAAGTTGAAAAGTCTTGCTTTAAAAGACTTGTAAGGATGTTCTCAGCAATGGAAAAAGAGATTGTCAGGAGTCAGCAGAATTTCAAAGTGAGTAAGATTGATGTATGGTAGACTTTATAGAATAATTTTTTTCATGATTTCAGTTTGAGTATTTATTAAATGTGGTATGTAAATATATACTGTTATTGTATATGTACTTTGAAATGTACACAACGTTTTAGATGAAAAGTAGCCATGAAATAGGTTGTACCTTATGAGTTAACAGATATTAAAAGAAAAAGCTTAACCGATAAAACAGTAAACCCACTTGGTATGATAAGTAAAGACTACCGATTATTGAGTTTGCAGTAAGTAGTGATTGACCACGAGCAGATAAAGGTAGTTTTTGACCTGTTGCTGTAACTCCTCGAAGTCGAACAATTTCACGTGCTATAAGGAATTTTAAAGCTGATTCAGGCAAAACCATAAGTTCTAGACGATCTCTGCCTACTTTCGAAAAAGGCCCATAAGGAAAGTATGATCTGAGGAATAGAACAGTAATAATATATAAATGAAATGAAGTAGACACTATTAATAATGTGCAATAGATTAAGAATTATCAAGAAACAAATATTAGGTTCAATTAAAACATAAATATGGTAACTGTTCACAATGCGATGCAAGTCTAAAATCAATCAAAGGAAAGGTGCAAGCAGCAGTGAACAGTTGTTTAAACCTCATTTGATTTACTTTGATGAATTTCATGACATGGAGAGGGGGATCTGCAAATTCCATAATCCACGGAAATTTAGCATGAGAATTGTTGATAATCTCAAAATGTTACACGATAAGTTGAATAAAAAAATAAATGGACTGATGAATTTTGAGGTAAAAACTATGTGTTAACGTTTACCACACTAAACATTGAAAAAATGTATTTACGCCACTGAGGGATCGATTTTATGTTCTACCATATAGTTTTCCTTCCAGATTAAGAAGCTTGAACCTTCCTGTATGGTTTAGATGGATCGTTAGTCAGTTTATTAGGCTGATGTTATTATGTATTAGCCTGGTCGTCAATAGCTAATTTACAAAATAAACATACGTCAGTGTATGAAGAAAGAGAATGGACACACAACATATATATATATATATATATATATATATATATATATATCAATTGGCATGAAATTTACGGCTTTATAATCTGATCTAATTGATGCGCTTAACATTAAATCCATTTACTTGATGATTTCACCTACCAGAGAAAAACACTTATAAGATGATACTAGATGATCAATTACTTGTTTTTCCCCTTCTACCTCCAGTTTTTGTGTTTCACTTGAATTAAATAATACACAAAAGAAGCTGTTGTGCCATGTGTTTACGTTAAACACTTTATTTGAGCTATAAGTAGAGTAGACTGATAAAAACCAGAAAAAAAACCCAGTATCTGTAATGAAATTTTATTCAGCAATAAACCAGAGAAATGATGAGAATCCTTAAACAAATGGAATAAATGATTAACATGAACTAGTTTGGTTTTTGCTATAGTCAAGAGTATTTAACTACTATGTTCATTTAAATACAAAATCTTAGTAGTGGTTGAACCAAGAAACAGAGATAGAGGAGAAGAAACTTCATGATAATAATATAATAATAGACAACAGTTCGAATGAACAACACCATCAACGGACAGATTATTTTTCAAATATTCATGAGACTTAAGATACAGAAGATGATGAGATTTCGTTTTGTTTTTAAGTGAAATGATTAATTGGATGAAACTAAGCTCAATCTTTATGTTTCAACTAATAGTTTAACCACTTTAGCCGGTAAGCATAGATTAGGTTCATCAAAGGTCTGTTTATCTCTTTTGGCAACTAATAGGACTGTTCACAGCATACAATCAATAGGTAATTAAGGAAGGATAAAAATATTCACCGTATAAGTCCTAGTTACTTACTCTTAGTGAATCGCTTTTCATCTTTTGCTAGAGTGGTAGCCAAACGGTAGAGGCGCTTATTTTCCAACCAGTGTCTGGTCACTGAGTCTCTAAGAAAGTCGAAACTAATCACTAGCATCTACACGATGGTTGCGTTAACTGCCAACTTATTCCCTTATTCAAGCAGTCACTTATAGTTACTTGTCATAGCAGTTCTCTAGTATGCTTACTTTATTTTTTAAAACTGCTTATTATTATTATTGTGTAAACATTTTAATAGCTTAAAATCAAGGTGGCTTTCTGTTATGATCATTTTCATATCCTGTTGGCTATTTTTGATTTCCTACTGAAAATTGTTGAGTCTTTGTAATTCTCTTGAAGTAGAAGATTACATCAGGCTATTTCAACAGAAGAATTTTATGCTTCAACAAATGTCTAGCTTGTCATTTTTGCACTTAATTGCAGATATTTCAAAAGAGAAGTTGAAGATGTCTTTCAGTTAAAATTTTTTGAGTTTACTAGGATGCAGGTATGTTCATATTCGAAGAAAGTGGTTGCAAATGAAAAATTTACTGGTTAATTGAGTCAACATAGGTCATGAAATTGAAGTTATCAGCATGGGAAAACAATCATTGACTATTCTTTGATCTCCAATTGTTTTTTACATATTCCTAGCTTATAATTCACACTTAAATTAATCAGAAAACTGGCTAACCATAATATACCTGTAAAAGTACGTTATTATTAAACTTACCGATAGAAGTCTAGTGAATCTAAGGGTATTTCAGCGGAACTTTCATATCTAAAAAAGTAGGGCAATCCAATAAATGCATAACCAGGTGATTTTATAGAACCTAAGACAAGTGACTCATCTACAGATGTAAGAAATACATCTAACTGAGATTTTTGATAATCCGTCATAGTGAAATGAGAACAAATCTAAATATTTAGGTAAAATAAATTTAACTAGACTTACATCTTTTGTTATTCTTAGGACTCGTTGAGATGGTTTTGTCTCCCATCCTATGTCAAATTGTGAAGTAGACCAACGACAAAGAACTTCATAATATGGTTGGACAAAATAAGTTAATGAACATGCCGTGGCTGCGGATAAAAGTGCTAATTTTTGTGAATGTTTTACGAAAAATATTGAGAATTTATTCATAACGAAGTGAATTTCAGAATATCTGTGATGAGGAATTTCGGGAACTGTAAAGTGAAAACAAAAGAATAAGTTTAAAGGGTACGTATCATCATAAATACTAACAATTGTAAGCAACACAATTGCTAGCTTTCGGTCATAAATTATAGATATTATGAGAACCACAGCCAAAAAGTTATTATTATTTTTTAAGTACACAAATATTGGTCTAAAGGGGGGTACCAAAGTATATATGTGCAAGATAGTAAGAAAACTGAGACTGTGAATGGACATAAAAAGGAAAGTGAGTATAATAAAAACGATAAGTGAACAAGAGAGTGAGAAATGGTGAGAGAAGTAGTTCAGTTGAGGGAAGTACAATCATAAACGATTCTTTTAGTTGAAGAAGTTCTTCCAGGACCCTAACCAGAAGGTGAATGACCGACAAATTCCAGCCCTGGATAACTTTTCGATGTTACGGTATCCTGCCATGAACTGACAAACACAACTTTTTTCAGTCAGTCAGAGTCAGATGCAACGTAGAACTTTGTACATAAGTACATCAGTTCATGTTGCCATACCACATCAGCACAGAGAAGTAATCGTCAATTCAAATCCAATAGTAGAAGAGGTAGTAAGGGAATTAGAAATAATCGGAGAGGTTAGGATTAGAAGATACTATTCAAGAAGTATGATTCAGTGAGATAAGTTTAGAGAGTCGAAACTAGAGGGGTTGATGAGTCCAGAAGATTAGGATTTGAGAGAACACAGAGAATAAATGCACCGGCGCCATTGCGAACGATTTTGAGCCATGTCATTCAAGGTCTCTAACCATCGATTATTATCATCTCGCGGACCCCAACCAGGTAGTCGACAATTACCAACATGGCTCAGTCCACTAGTCAATGACTTCATGGATTTCTGCCATGTTTTCGTTTGGCCGCCCCTAACTTTCTTCCAACCTATTCCTACACTACAAAACAAGGCTCGACGAGGCAGCCGGTGGTTGGGCATACGCAACACATGTCCCAACCACCTCAACTGGTGAAGTTTCAATACTTCATCGATTGATCTGCCATTCTTACCTAGCACCCGATTCCTAATAACAGCGTTGCTCACTCGGGTGTCCCACGATATACGAGCAATGCTTCGAAGACACCTATGATCGAAAACCATTAACCTACGAATATCTTCTACTCTCACTGGCCATGTTTCACAGCCATAAAGTAAGACGGAGCGAACTACTGCGCAGTACACTCGTCCTTTAGTCAGCAAACGGATATCTCGCCTACGCCATAAGTGACGCAGGTTGGCAAAAGCCAATCGAGCCTTCTGTATCCGTGCTGAGATTTCGTCAGTCACCAGGCCATCGGCACTGATGAGACTCCCCAGATAAGTGAAGCGGTCTACACGTTCGACTACTTCACTCCCTATCACTAGTTCAGGTGCCGATGCAACCCAGTCTTGAATCAACATTTTGCATTTCGAGGGGGAAAACCGCATCCCGAACATGCTTGCATTGTTGGGGATGCGGTTTTCCCCCTCGAAACTTTTTTCAACCAGTTCAAGAACCAGCAAAAAGTGGAAGATGAGTAACTCGAAGGGACTACTTTGTGTCTTCTCGAATCTTAGTCTTCTGGATTCATCAACATCTCTACTTTTGTCTTTTTAAACTTATCTCACTGAATTCTTGAATAATATCTTGCAACCACTGTCTTCCATGGAAACATGGAGAACTACAAAAGCCATCATCCAGAAGATACAAGTGTTTATTAACAGTTGTCTACTCTAAATACTTCGTATTCGTTGACTAGAGACCATCAGCAACAACCTACTGTGGGAGAGAACAAACCAGATTCCAGTGGAGGAGGAAATCAGGAAGAAGCGGTGGAAGTGGATAGGACACACACTACGAAAAGCACCTAACTGCATCACGAGACAAGCCCTCACATGGAACCTTCAAGGCAAAAGGAAAAGAGGAAGGCCAAAGAATACATTACACCGAGAAATAGAGAAAGATATGAGAGGAATGAACAAAAATTGGACAGAACTGGAGAGGGAAGCCCAGGACAGAGTTGGTTGGAGAAAACCGGTGGGCGGCCTATGCTCCATTGGGGGTAACAGGCGTAAGTAAGTAATTATCTTCCCTGTTACCAGTAGTACTCCTACTATATTTACCACTATGGGATTTGAATTGACAACTGCGTCTCTATGTGGTATGGAAAACTGGACTGATGTACTTACGTACGAAGTTCTGAATGACTGGATCTCTACCGACTGACGTGTCTAAGACATGTAATAAAATAAGTTATATGTAAATCAATGAATATTGAACTAGAAGTGTGCCAGCAAGGCAGAAATATGACTGATCTATTAAGAACAATTCTTGGTACGTTATCTTCATTTGTCCTGTTACTGCAACTTATATTTTTTCATACGATATGGACCAACCGTCAAATGTGACTGCTGATCTTTATTGGTATTTTCTTACGCTAACTTCGTTCGGTTTCTGAAAAAGGAACTGTGAAACCATTTATTATAGCTTAGAAATTAAAATGCTAGGATCCTAACCATAAGGCCGCAAACTTAAACCTAGCTTTATCTATTTGTTTTTGCGATCGGGTAGCATTATTATGTGGCCTAAAGCTAAGTGCACAAACCTGCAAATGATAATTTAGCTATATCAATAAATAAGTTGACAATCTTAGATGTCCAATCTGTTAGCTCACGCGACGCTAGGCCTTACCCTGAGTTTGGCCGTGTTTTATGATATAGAACCCTGTTATATTTCACTATGAATCTACACTTTTTAAACCATACTAGATGTACCCAGTGGTCGTTCTAGGTTCTTCATATGAACACAGCTGACAGTAACCATACAGTTTACAGATAGTAATGTCATGGCGTAAAATCTCGCGTCAGTTAACGTGGAACAAGGTTATAGTCAAGTTCTTAGAGCCAATTAGTATAATGAATTCATTGGGTTTAGCTGACTAACCTCTTTGATGTGAGAAAAATAGATCTATCCACATGAAAACTTAAGGATGTGATACTCATGTTATCACATTCGGTGAAAGCTAATGACATTACCAGGCTGTTTGAACACAATTAGGAGGAATGAGATTCAACCTCTGAACTACTGCCTGAGATTTAACTGCCTAGATAAATGACCTCATGCAAGGAGATATCGAAGAGTAATTGTGTAGAATGCTATCTTAAATTCACTTTTCAGTTCCATAATAAAAATATCTAATGGTTTTAGGCATTTTAGGGACAATATACTGCCGATTTCCTCATCATCAATAACAGAAGTGGAGTTATCTATCGGTTTAACGGCAGGCTTTGGTAGGTTTGCATTTAGATTGAAGATACGTTGCGTGTTGGAATAGTGTGGGAAGTAGCATGTGAGGTTATCTAGTGGTAAAGAACAAGATAAAAAGTGAGCCGACAATTTAGAGAACACATACAATGTACCCACTCTTAACAAAGAAAGTAATCAAAAGAAATCATACAACCATGAGGTTTAGACAAACTGATAAACGGAACTAGAAGTTGATGTCGCACGACCTTAAAAGCGACACATGAGTTTAAATTTCGCTCAAAATATTCGTTGCGTTACCTTATTTCTGATTGGCTCAGGGCTGTTGGTATTCCGTACGTGTACCGCATTGTTTACCCAAATATTTATTACCCAACCCTGAGTGCCTCTTTTGAAGTCCGGTAGTCTGTGTTTAAGGTGTACATTATTTGAAAATCTTCACGCTGTATACTTCTAGTTTCCTTAGCCAGATTCTCTTAATCTGAAGTTTGCGTGAATGCTGACTGTTGTTTATAACTGTCCTTATTTGAAGTAAGTGCATCCTGTGCCCTTTTCGGGTCGTCGGACCACTTATTTGGTTCCCTTCTTTTCGATTTCCCTCACCAACGCTACTCTGAATGCTGCCCTAATACACAAGGTACTTTCAGGCTGAACACGAAATGCTAGATGCGCTCTAGGTTGGTTGAATGTAAGTTTACCTCAGTTCGTAGTTTTCACATGTGTAAGTAGTCTATCAATGTCTGGAAACAGATAAAAAAGTTGGAAATCTGTTTAAGTGTGTCCTCCTACATTTGAAGTGTGAACATTGAAAAGGTCTTCAAGCAATTGTCCATCGAGAGGCTTATGTTATATCAGCTTCGCTGAAGATGATACTAGATTCCAAAAATAACATGATATCGGCAAACAGACTGACATGTAATTCTAGGGATTGTTCATTTATGTTGACTCTGATGGTTATAATTCCAGTTGCCGGAATGGTTTGCTGAATATGAATGGCAGTCTAAATGGCAGGGGCTAAACAAACGTCTTTTGTTTTGGGGTGATTACCAGAAGGCATTTCATGAATTTCAATGCCTGTGATTAGCTTTGTCCTGTTGCTTTGTGGACTGCGAACACACTAGACCAAGGAGATTCGTTTCTGAATTCAGTCGGCATACAACATTCATTGTAAAGAAACAGTTCAGATGATTTTTTTAAAATGTTTACATCGACTACGCAACCAGAGATTTTTTTATCGATAGCGGAAAAAGATCGTATGAGTTCAATATTAACTTTACCCATGTATCAATATCCTATTTCACTAGGTAAGCATTCTGTTTCCTTCTCGACATTATGTGGTAGTGCTCTAAAAGGCACAATCCAGTTCAGCGTTCAAGAATGCCATACAAAATATAGGGTAGTTACCAAAATGGTTCGACAAAAGTCACTAACCGGCCGATTGTTAGTGCTTTAAACAATAACTTTTCAAATTTCTACTGATACTTGTGATTGTATAGCTCTTTCTTCGGTGTAAACTGTGATATTATTTTTTATCTAACTCCTAAATCCATCAGGTACTTTCCCCACACTACCTAGTTTATTTAAAACTTCTGCATTTAGCTGTCGACATACTAAGTATGTATGTGATATCGGTAAATATTGTGAATCTTTCTTCAAAAATAAGCAGAAATTATTAAATCCTGATGCATGGCATCTTATTCCGAGAGACAATTTCAGTTCCCAATCAACAAATAACATGTACTAATAGAGTGCTAGTTCTGACGATTGTTTGTTTTCAGCCTCATTACAAATGTAGTTGTAAGAGCGGGAAATCTGTTTGTATTGCTTAAGCGGTTCCAGCTACGGTAGTCGCTAAAGAAACCCTCTGTATAAGTAATTGCTTCTGTTAGATCACTCCCTCGACCCACGTTATCACGACAACTGTACTTCTATAACCATTCTAGTGCCGATCGAGTTGTGATTGACTATGATCACCATTAAGTACTGATTTCGAGCCCATCACAGAGAAGAAGAGTTATTTCATAGTAAATAATATATTTGCTGGCGATTTCGTGCTGTCGAAAGGATATTGAAATCGTGCCAGAAAGTTGGGGCGAACTTACAGAAAGAGTGGAGCAAAAATCGCAGTAACAAAAACGGAAAGTTTGCGCGTACAGAGTAGTAATAAAGAAAGAGGTTCAGTGGTACAATCATTAGTACAACTGGTTAAAATAATGAATGTTTATATCAAACCAATCGCGTTCTACTCAAAAAAGTGGATTCACTACACAATCATCTTACAGAAGGAAACACTGGAGCTTCACCTTCATGACGATATTCGCTAACGCGATGGGTCCTAACAACTCGGTGTATCCAAGCCGTATGTTCCACCAAAGTAGTGTATTTTATATTTAGGCTACTTTGTGATTTCAGTCAATGCGGTCGAGCTGTAGCATTGTTCTTAGGTAGCCCTAACTACATTTCTAATAAGTAGTTCTTCTTAGCGGTCTACTGACGAAGCTATTCATTGCTTAGCATCTTGAAATCGCGCTTTTAGCTATGTGAGTATCTAATATAAGCTATTAATTAATCTCAGCATGAAAGTAGAAAAATGAGTCTAAGAATTAGATGGTGTATGAAAGAGAAAGTGTCTGAAAATCAATTTCACTAGTTAATCACCTTATCTATCATAAAGATACCCGAGCCGACAAGATTTTCTGCCCTAGAAATATGGGTAGACTAAAGTCATCGCCCTCACTATCTGCATTCGTTGATCAGTAACTCGACCAACATCCTCTTTTATTATTAGGCTCATTCAGAAAGATTTTGAGATAGCATTTTATATCTGTCATGAATGCCGGCCAAAGGTGAAGGTTATTTATAGAACCAGTGAGTTATTAGTCTGTTTAAAGTGCAAATGAACCTGTAGCCAAATAGGATAAAAGTACACCGAGAAGGAAAAAATTAAAACGTATCTCAGAATTTAATATGGTTCAAATGTATGGAGACTCATTGATTTACGATCGGGCTGTAGATAATGATATTAATAATAACAATAACAATTTATTCTCAAGTAGCAGCATGTTACAAAAGGCATGCCAATTTACAGGCAAGATCAAAATGTTAAAATTTGTAACATATTTTCCGTGAAAGGTTGTTCGGTTACATAAATATTTCATATGATACACTGACTGCATATAGATGGCTAGAATTCGAATGGTTGGCGTCAGTTACGACGGTTACAACGAACAGCTAATGGCTGAGAAACAATTCAAAGTAGAGCCAGGTCTGCATAAAACAAGAATTGATGGTCTTGTTCATTTTTGTCAAATAAATTATTTGCTGGCTCCCGGGTGAAGTAAACAAGCCTCCGGCCATTATCCAGACTAATATTTAGGGACTAGAATATGGTGCTGAGAAAGAGAAATAAAGAGAAAGGGGTGGTTAGCAGAACAGAAAATATTCTTGTTTAAAGCTGAGTCATCACACTGCAGGTACTGATTTTGGATATCACAAAGGTATAATTACTGAAACCTTTTTCTGTATTAGAACACTGACTGTTCACTCGCACTTATGTAGGTTAATGAAGACAATTCACTAGTAAGATAACGAATGGGCAATTAATCGTATGAATAGAGTAAAGTCAGAAGAGCTAAATTGTTAGCAATAGTGTCAACTCACAGAACATAATAGTGAAGCATAGTGATCTGATGCTTTTTCATGATATTCTATTTGAACTTTTTTAAAACTGTAGTTAAAGAAGCCATGAGTGACCTCGTCTTCACCATAAATGTCTAAATCTGCTTGTAATAGGATTTCTTGGTAGGACGTGAAACCAGTTCAAAGTTACACACATGAGTCGTAGACATGGTTAACAAGAAAAAATAACATCAATTTCATTGATAAGTTACATCCTGCTATATCGTAATGTGCCGTAAGCAAACAAAATGTTATACCTCACAGAGATGAGTAGATTGAGGCTGTCGCTACACCGCATGAATGTTGATTAGATACACCACCCTCCCACCTTGTGTGAGGATAGGCTCTTTTACGTTTAATGGTTCATTGTAAATAATGGTTTCTAGTCTACTCTCTATTTTTTGTACACCTTATCGGAATGCACTTTCTCTACTAGCTCCACTTTAGAAGCAAACCAGACAAATTTGGCTTATGTATGTTGGACTATATATCCACGTAGCATGTAGCTTAAACATCAATTCGAACCAGATATGTGTTTTTCTCTTCTTTGCTTATCCTTTTTCTTCTCACACGATCTTTACCACCAAACTAAATAACTTATTTAATAATTTACATAGTTCTGAAATTTCCCTCTTGTCAATATCAATTGAATTTTCTCTTTATGATCCTCTGTTTTACAACAAACTAATAATTGGCCCAGCAATGTGGTAGCTGATAGTATTCAAAAGCTCTACTGCACTTAAACAGTTGCAATCACTAAGATCACGGAACACACATATCCATAAATTGCTGCCCGCTGACTAGAATTAGGCCCATCGAGTGCCTAGATTACCATCCCAATGAAATTAGCAAATACCTGGAAACTCACAAAAAGAGCGAGAAGCGAGGATAAAGAAATCAGTCGGTTTATATTGGTTTTGAATAGAAGATATTGAATATTGGACGTATTGGGTTTTGGACGGGCTAAGCGTTTTAATGAACCACTGAAGCTTATATTTCCCCTTGACGACGGTTTTGAAAGTTTTTAATTGGGAATCAAATGCCTCTAAAGAGTAAAGCTAGGTTTGTTAACGAAACAGTTAAAAATCATTATCTTGCCTGAGTTTTGAACGTTATAGCCTACATTTTGTCTCTTTTTCCAGCTTTTTGGAGGCATATAATAGCCTGACGGACAAACATTTAATTAACTATTTCTCTACATCTCGGATGAGGCGACATCTTATAAATAATGGATTGGTAAGTTTCAAAAAGTTCCATCCCTCATAAAGTTGTCGTGAAAATCCATTGCAGCTTGTAAATTCATGCAAGAACCGTTTAGTTCCATCATATGTGACTAAATACCTGGAACCGTATCTTAGCAATAAGTAGCGAGTTCAAAGCAATCGCTTGGTTTATACTAGCTCATAAAAACGGATACTGGACATGTTGATAAAAATTTATGCAGCTTACTGAATGGCGATTCAGTAGACTGTAATATGCTGCACTATATTATTAGTGATGAACTGTACCATTAGGTAGTCTAACACTAACGATAAGCCATCTGTTATATAGATCACACAAAATGACTCTTGAAGAGATTTAAGCAATCCAGAATGCCAAAATGTCTTCGGTTAAATGACAGTTACATCGTCTTCTGGACATCTCCGATATTTTACATTTGACAAACGTAACGGATGGTCCATTTTTAACTTCCATTAACTAATTGTTTCAAGCTTAGCTACCTAGTTGAACTGATGCTACATATTACAAATATTTTTATGCTGAAGAGGGATATATTTTCAAAATCGTACGTAAACGAGGAAACATCGTTCTCTAGCCATTAAAAACAGATTTCCTGCAGAGTCGTAATCACGGCAAATGTCCTTCGTAAATCTAAAGTCTAAAACACAAATATTTAAATGTGAGATTTTTTGAGTTATCCTTTTGTTGATATTTTTTACCAGATCTCAGTTTTTCTTATGGTGAAATATGTAGGTGGTTAGGGTGCCATAAATCATCATAATGTCGCACCTGAGACGCCTATACTCTAACAATTGAAGATCAAGTGGTTTGTGTCTTTTTTTATTAGGTTTAAAATCGAGTCCTTCTACTGACTTTCTGGCTCTTACTTGGATAATTTTCAGGGTATTTTACCCTTAAGGAATGAGAGAAAAACACTGTTTCCACTATAAGTGTGGCTGGACAAAGCTATTAAAAATTGAGTGGAATGTTGTGTCAGAGTGGCCAAAAACATGCCTCAATGTTGCTAGTGCAAAGTTCGTTCGAACTACATCTTGTTGCATTTGGCGTAATAATTTAGACACATAGACTAATAAATCTGCTTTAAATTTCCACATCACTGAAAAGGAGTAACTGAGGTTGTATGCGTAGCCTGAAACATGTCTCAGATGGACTACTTTATCCTTTGAAGTACTGAAAACAATTTTACTGGTATCCGCCATAATTTGAGTCTGAGTCATATCTTTCTGAAAAAACAGCTTATCACTTTAGCTGCAAACTTTTGCTCGAAGTGTAATATCAGCAGTGAAATGAAATAACTCGGTCAATACTTGCTAAAAAAGGTCATTTCTACAAATTAAGAAGTAAGAAGTCATAATACTGGACGATTGGAGAACCCCTTTAGGACATTCTTTTTCCTGAGTGAAAGCGAATTTTACCCTGACTTCGACCGTACCACTGATATCACGAGTGGTTGTCGATCTGTCCATTTCAGTCAGCAGACTCGTTGTACAAGAATAACCCTTCCTAAAACGATATTGTTGGGATGAAGAGGAGTTTACAGATAACAATTAGTTACATAAATCTCCGTATATTGAGGACTGTGTGAATTTTTAAGGGTGGTGAACAAAATTCTACTGGCCAATAGCTAGAAGGTTTATTGTACCGATCTTCTCTGAAAATTAGTGTGATGTTCACCAGCTTTCAACAGTCTGAAACCGTGTCTTTGATTGGGGAATATGAGAAAATCGCACTTATTGGCGTTGCCAAGCCTTTTCTCACAGTACAGCATAATAAACGATATGTTGGCCAGGAGATGTGTCTCTATTTAGATGCTCCAGTACGACGCATATATATGTGCTTCTGAAACTCCCCTTCAGCTTTAGATGAAGCTCTTATTATTGTAGATTGTGTTTGAGATTAAAGTACTTGAAAATATCGTTTTGCCAAGAGCTCCACAGCGTCACGATTTCTGTTGACTGAGCCAATGGAACCTTTCAAAGATGAGTTGGCTATATATACTCTTTAGCTAGGTAGATAAAGCGTTTACTGTTTGAAGTGAAAGGTACTTAGTTTACGTTTTAGAGTAAACATCAAATTTCGGATTCCTACACACCCAAATTATTGCAAAATGCACGTCTTGGATTGCATTGCTAGCCAAAACCCATTTCTTCCGTAAAACACATTTGAGTTCTTGATTCATTTGTTATTTATCATAACTGGCTTCTCAAACCATTTTAATAGCGGTTCAATTTTATAAAAGCGTGACTTATTTGCTTTATGTTGATCACCATGTTTTATTTACTTTGAGATTTAATAACTAATTTTAGCAAAACTCCTGTTATAGTAAGGATAAGTCAATGAATTTTTGAGGAAAATTGAGGTGCGTAACTGTTTAGGGTGTATTTTCTGATTTTCGATTACAAACGTTTTTGTATGTTTATATAAGCCTATGCTGAAAAACCCTTATGTTGCCAGTGTTACTTTTTCAGATTACAGAGAACGGTGAAGTCATACCGGAATCAGAATACAAGGAAACAAAAATTCGCGAAAATCTAAAGCGCGCTTTTTTAGAAGTTATCGCTCATAATATTGTTGAAAAATCTCTGGAAGAGGAACGTTTACGTCAGGGAAAATTACTAAGAGATTTAGAAGAAATATGTCGCCTAAACAGAATCAGAAAGTTAAAAGTGAGTTCAAGTTCTTAACTCTTCTGTTAATGTTAATTGTTTGGAGAAGTTTCACATTGGTTATTTTGTCGGTAGCAACACGTAGTATTCAATGTATGAAAGCGAAAAATGCGATTAATCGAGAATAAGAAATTTTTCACTGAAAATGCATTCCCACAGTTATGTGATCTTATTTCTCTCTATATGTTATCTGCAACTAAACTTCATTCAATATAATGCTTGTTGATTTCACCTTGCATTCAGGAATTGTTTAATCTTAAGTTACACTAATTGAAGATATGGAATCCGAGTACTTTACCAAAATAAAACTGAAATTTTATCAAACATTATTTTATAGTTCGCTTTTTCTTTAACATAAAATAAGTCCCAAAATAAAGTGCATTTCAATACTTGGAACGCTTTCAGTTCAATTGAATTGACTCCATGTCAGTGTATGCATTATGTATCACGTAGTTAAAGAACATATTATTCCGAATCAGCATTGCTAAGAAAAGATAACACAATATTCGTATCATATGTGTTAGTAGAATACCGTAAAAGTTGGACATGTGACAAATGCATATGATTGATAAACTTCAAAAACGGCTACAATAACTAATGAGGGACAATTTTTTTAGGATGATACAGAATAACCAATAAGACTAGAATGATTTTATTCGATTTTACACTATTTAAGTTCAATAGGTGAATAAACTAGGTCATTACAACTGTAACACGCTATCTGAAAAGCTAAGAAATAACGTGAATTAGTGTAAGTTTTTTGCAAATACCTCAGTCTTCACTGTTTATTGAGTTATCTACCGCTTAGTTCATGACATTCGTTTGACTAAATCGTGTTGTGCTGACTGAAAAATTAAAGTGATTTCGACGGAATTTTATCAGGTTGTAATAGAGTGGAGGATTGAGTAGCTGCAATGCAGTATTTATTGGTTCCTTTTAACTCCTTAACTTTGTAGAGCTTTTTAATAGGCTGAACTGTTTTGAGATATCAGCTCAAGATTAAACGACAAGTAAGAGATGCTTACGGGCGTATTGTATTGGTTAAGATTCGGATTGGTCTCCTGAGGAATACAGATACATGCTGTTTGTGGAAAATTTGACTTAACTAAATAAAGCACATTAATTTACATTGATTAGTTCTTTTATACATGGAATTTGGTTACCCAACACAATTCACCACTTACCTCCAGTTTTTTGACTCAATTCAGTCAGTCAGTCAGTCAGTTGCAACGTAGAACGTCGTACGTAAGTACATCAGTTCATGTCGCCATACCACATCAGCACAGAGGTGTAATTGTCAATTCTAAATCCAATAGTAGAAGAGTTAGTAAGGGTATTAGAAGTAATCGGAGAGGTTAGGATTAGAAGATATTATTCAAGAAGTATGTTTCAGTGGGAAAAGTTTACAAAGTTGAAGAATCCAGAAGATTAGGATTTGAGAGAACACAAAGAATAAATGCACCTGCGCCATTGCAAACGATTTTGAGCCATGTCATTCAACGTCTCTAAACATCGATTATTATCATCTCGCGGACCCCAACCAGGTAGTCGACAATTACCGACATGGCTAAGTCCACTCGTCAATGACTTCATGGATTTGTGCCATGTTTTGGTCTGGCCGCCCCTTTGACTCAATTGGTAGATTAGGAAATGTGTATTTCACTATCAAAAATTGAAGGACTTTTTATCACAACTGTTTTAAAAATAATAGAGATTCAGAATAAATTAGTCAGCAAAAACTTTAGAAGTTTTATGCTCGTGGTCACTTTCAATTAGAGCTTACATGCATTCTTGAGACAGCCAGTGCTTCTTGTGTGGTTCCACTCTGGATCACTCAGGCTAATAATCTGAGGTGTTACCGCTAATATATATCCTCATCCAACCGACATCATGTAGGGCTGAGTTATTTACACCGATTGACAATGAAAACTATTTACTTTCTGAGATAGAAAATAATGCAATGTGTATAATACCATTACAATGTTTCACTTAAATCTTTTAACTACAAATATAGTTTCATGAAAATTCTGGGATATTCATTTCTATTTACTCTTCTCTTTGGTACGACTCTTATTTTATTATTATTTCAAATTTATTCAATATTTTGTTTTGAAGACAGAATTTTGTAAACAGATATATCTAAGTGTTATCATTGTATTGAGTATTACCATTTAGAAACAAAGTTGATATCTATAAAGACTAGAAAGATACCCCTAATAAGTTCAGGTAGATTTGAACTATGCACAGAATTTTTCAAATGGCTTTGGTAACTGTTTTGGAATGAAAATTACTAACATTAATAAATAAGTAACTGTTATTGTAGAGGGTTTTTCGAAATAGTCAGTCAAGTTTTATAGTCTGCACTACTGACTTGTTTTAGTTAGACAACTATTAGACAGATGTTTAGTTCTAGTATGAGATTCCTAACCAGTACGCATTCACGACTCCATTGGAGATCAGACCAGACAGCTAATCAGGTTCAACCAAACATAATTTTGGTTAACACATAGTCAGTCATCAAGTAGTTAGCTATACATATGTTAGTTCAAGTATACTTCTTATGTATAAAATTTTAGAACCTGCTACAAATCTTCTCTACACTCGATTTCAGACAAACATATATGTATATATATTAGCAGGTCAAATCACAAAGTGATATTATTTGGACCACTTTGAAAACCTGGAAGAACTGGACGGCCGTTCAGTCCTAATACAGGACTCCTCAACAATTCATGTCCACGATATGTGACTGCGGAACGAATCAAAGATTTTTGGTCAAGCTTAACCTTTAGACAACTGGACCATTTAAGGTGCGCGACTGATACTCACTACATACAATAGGTCAGGATTGCGCAATATTGTTAGCTGGCTGAAATTAGACACTAATACAATTAGATGCTAGCTTAGCGATCTATGGGTCAGATTCTTGTGCGAGACCGATCTTAGATACTATTATCAGATACGGGGTCACGTGTGTGCGGGGTTGAGGAATCCCACACTTTGACGAAGAGCCATCCAATGCTGCTAGGTTTTCAGTAGTAGTCTCGCCAAAATTAACTGTTTATTTAAACTACAGAAATTCTACAGTATCCTCAGATCCCCTGTATTTAATGTGTGTTTTTTTAATTGGTATAGATTACTTTTATTTCTCTTAAACTTCGTTTGATTTTCTTGTTCATTTTTGGTAGGAAGATCGTCGACAACTTTCAGAAGAAGCACCGTTATCTAAGTTAGTAGTGAACAGTCCAAGATCAGTAGAGAAATTCGAACTTTTAAAAACCTACCACCCAAATAATATGGTAATTATGATTATGAATAAATGAGATAATTCAATGCATGCAATACGCAAATCTATACGTTTTTGTAGCATGACGTACTTGTTATTTGGTCTAATCGCAAGAAATGAGTATAAAAGTATACTTAAAGGATGAGCTTAAAACAACTGCGACACGTTTCGGGCAAGTGTTGTTTAGCCAATCAGAAGGAAGCTTATGGAAAAGAAGATAAAAATATCGTTTAATTTGTCTATAACTGTTTTGTACAGAATACTCTTCCGGTAAATAAAAAAGAACGACATATAAACTCGTTATTTTCGAAATAGATTGTCCATCTTATCGAATCCATTACAGAACTCAATGTTCCTATTTACAATTACGTATCTAGGGTTGGGTGTCTTCAGCATAAATTATCAGCTATCATGTGAAATGGTCTGTAGCGAGATGGATGAGTGAAATTCATGCAAAAATACAATAGTCGCCAACTGATTACCTCGTACAAAAAATGTAAACAATGCAATTGAGGTCGGCTTCAATATTAATAATTCAGGGTTGGAACTTATATGTAATGTCGGTTCAGGTATTATACACAATCCGAAAACTCCGCCTACTGCCGGTCCCAAGCCCGGATAAAGGAGCAGGGTTGGGATTGGGGTTGGCGTTTCCATTTTGTAGAAAACTAACTCGTTAAAAATACGCTAAACAGAAAATATAATGCAAACCATTTTAACTGTGTTGTGGGAGTTAGAAGGTCTTCATTCAGAAGGGCTATGACGTCTCATGACGAAAGCTGAGTTCCATCAGAAGTAACGAAGTAGACGCCCCTTCTGACAACCAGAGCAACCATTTGTTCGAGGTGAAGATCGGCGTCAGGCAAGGTTGCCTAATCTCACCCTTTCCCTTTCTCGTAATGATCGACCGGATTATGAAGACGGCAACATCTGGAGGAAAGCATCGTATACAGTGGACAGCAAGGATGTAGCTGGACGATCTGGATTTCGCAGATGATCTGCCTCTTTTATCGCACACGCAAAAAAAATGCAAGAGAAGACAATCAGTGTAGGAGCAGCCTCAGCAGCAGCAGCGGCAGGTCTCAACATAAATAAAGGGAAAAGCAAGATTCTCCGATACAAAACTCTTCATGGAAATGCCTTGAAGGATGTAAAAACCTTCACATATCTGGGAAGCATCATTAATAAACAAGGTGGATCTGATGATGTGAAGGCGCAGATCGGCAAAGAAAGGACAACATTTCCACAAGTGACGAACATGTGGAACTCCAAACAACTATCAACCAACAATAAAGTCAGAATTTTAAGTACAAATGTCAAGGAAATTCTACTGCAAGGGGCGCAAACTTGGAAAACTACCAAAACCATCATCCAGAAGATACAAGTGTTTGTTAACAGTTTTCTACTCAAAATACTTCGGGTTCGTTGACCAGACACTACCGGCAACAACCTACAGCAGGAGAGAACAAACCAGATTCCAGCGGAGAAATAAACCAGAAAGAAGCGCTGGAAGTGGATAGGACATACACTGAGGAAAGCACCCAACTGAGTAACAAGACAAGCCTTTCCTTAGAACCTAAACGTCAGAGGAAAAGAGGAAGGCCAAGGAACATATTACGCCGAGAAATGTTGACAGACATGAGAAGAATGAACAAAAATTTGACAGAACTGGAAAGGGAAGCCCAAAACAGAGTAGGTTGGAGGAGGCTGATGGTCGGCCTATGCTCCATTAAGGGTAACAGACATAATAATTATAAGTCAATCTAAAGAGACGAAATGAACCACTGAATCCGTTTGACAGTATCGTTCTTCATCCGCATTATCAAAAATATAAGTTTGAAGAAGAAAGCTTGAAAGAAGACAGTCAATAATCTGCTTGTTTTGCAGGTGGAAATCTGAAGATCAGATGTGCATATTTTGGTTGGTAAATTGTGTCTTCTTTAAATAAATTACCTATTCCACACAGTATTGCTATGTTCGTTCATTACATTGGATTTCAATGCTAGCTACTACACGAATTTAGTAAACATTTGTGACTAAAAGGAAATATCGATGTAATCCGATCCGTGTGAATATATACTCCAGTAGAAACTGATCAACTACAGACCTTAAAATCAATAACGGAAAAATACAAAGCATTACATGTAGTATTTCTATCCACAAAACTGTAGCATAACGTATATCATGAAGATATAAGAATTTTAACAGGAAATGTCTTCTCTAAACACACATTTAAAACAGAACGGATCCCATCTGTCAAAAAAGGCATCTAGGCCACACAAGACTTAATGATGATTCCTCTAACTTCTCAGTAGAATAATGAAATCAAGCAAATTATATCAGCCTCATGTTTCAATAGTCATGATTAGTATCACCTTTTAATATGAGGAAACTAAATAATAAGTAACTGACAACTTGAATTACTAAATCATTTAGTCTTTCTATGGGATGTCGAGAGAGAGAGATCAGAATTCGATTCTTTCTGAGAAAATTATTTTACAGTTGAAGTAACGAGATGATAGTTAGACTACCGTTGCAAATAAGGAAGCATATGAGAACCGTTCTGACCTATTATGGGACACTTCAGTAACGTAAATCGACGACCTCGCAACCGGGAATCGAACACATAACTTTCGGTTTCACTCGCGATTACCTAACTTCCGGATCGTTGAACTGGCGTCCTGCTACGAAAATAATAAGACCCTCGCGAATCTCTTATACCAATAATAATCGTGTGCTCACAAGTTACTAGCTTCACGAGACAAATACTAAAGTTAGAGCGAGAGGCCATGAGCGGTGGTGTTCAATCCGTTTCAGGTGTGGTGTGAGCTACTTATAAGTAGTATATGACGTGAGTGTCAACGTAATGTCTGGCAGCAGAAGATGGGGGAAGATCAAGAAAGGAAGAGTTAGAACACAATGGAATTTGTATGAAACGCATGAATAGTGACAATGGATTGATGTTTTGCAACAGGAACAGTCCAGTTTGATATGATGAACTGATATTTTGCAAATTAAGGATTTACGATATGGTTTTCCAATTTTACTGAGTAACTCTGTAATTTTCGTTTAATACAATTCGGTTTCCCCACCTGTGTTCTCTTTCACTACACAGGTACCAGACAGTTAGTTATCCGCTACACGCAAAGGATAAACAGTTGAGCAACAACACCATGGACTGATTGAAGTTACCCATTAACATAAGTGGATGATGGTTTAGTGGTCTATAATTAATGGTTAGTGTGAAACTGAAAATCCAAAGTTCAGGTCTCGTACACGGGTGTGCATTGTCGAGAAGTTCCACAGTAGACAGAAACAGCCGTCCAGCCATTAGGTTTCTAGCGAAGATTAGTTTATGATTTCCACTGTGAAAATTATATAATCTCCACAAACACCCTATACTAAAATCAATTCACTCAAATATTCAAATTCACCTCTCTAATATACGTTAATAAACATGGAACGCAAATTCAATTTGCCTTTTGTCGATTACATTTAAACTACTCAGTGTTTCAATTGTAAAGAAAAAGTTATTGTTCTAGATTATATAATCCGTCTTTATCCAGAATGATTACCTTTAATCACGTGGGTAATGAAAACAAATATCTAGTTCAATATATCTCGGTTGATTTAAACAAAGCGTTCATTCAATTTTCAATCCAATCTAATCACAGAAAAAAATTCTTGAAATGATTATTCACATTTTTTACATTAATTTAGGCAAATCAACCAAACTTTAAAAAGACAACTCCACAGAAAAGAAAATATTCTCAAAAGAGAAAACAGTGTAATTATCAAATCGATATGTCAGCGATGATGCCTTATTCATCAAACCAACATAATCAACAACAAAAGTCCCCCCCATTGCATAGATCATTAAGTTGTTCAAATAGAAAAGTACAAACTGGACACTATTCAGACCGTAATAATCATCATCAATCTAATGAAAGAGATATTCAATTCGATCAACAACATACAAGAATAAATGATGATGTCTATCATCATCATCATGTCAAGAAAACTAATAAACATGATTTGGCTAATACTGATTATCAAACTCCTCCAAGGCACGTTAATGAGTACAATATTGATCGAAATAATAACAAACAAGTTGGAAAATTACGAAAATTATCCAATAGTTATAGACAATTGCCTCAGAATAAATTAAAACAAGTATGTACACATAATAAATTTCATAATATTTTTTTTTGAAAAAAACAATTATAAATCATGAATAAAGTATGAATTTAATTCAATGACTATACATAATGTGAAGATTGTTAAGTAAAACATTTTTGAAGCCATGAATCGATCAATGTTAGACCACAATTAGAAACCTGGAAGCACTGAAAGACGGCCGTTTCGTCCTGGTATGGGACTCTTCAGCAGTGCGCATCCACGATTCATGGTTTCAAAAATGTGTAACATAACAATCTTCGCAACAACCCCGTAATGCAAATTACCTGTGCTCACTAGTGACTAGCTTCGTGAGGAATCTTCTCCGAGTTCTAGTGGGAAGACGTGACCAGTGAAGTTCAACCTGTTCGGGTGTAGACAGTAACTACTGTCGAAGACTGTGTATGAGGTTGCACAATTCCGTGAATTGATCATGTTAGACATTAACACCGTTAGATACCGGCTCAATGGTCCGATGGTTAGGCGTTCGCGCACAATACCGAAGGTGGTGGGTTCGAGTCCTGCGGAGTTTAGGAGTCGTGGATGCTCACATCTGATGAGTCCCATACCAGGACGAAACGGCTGTCCAGTGCTTCCAGGTTTCTAATGGTGGTCTAACATTGATCTATTCATGGTTTCAAATATGTGTAATATTTATCAGTTACGATATTTGTTAAGCTTAAACTTTGAGAGAGATTAATGGATATTAGTCTATTTGTATAGTTATATTTGTAACCGATGATTTGTTCACAGAAAGTTTTTGTCTCATCCTTTCTCTGTGTCACTGAAGCTGACAAATTCTACTAAAATGATATTTATATGGATAATTCTATCTTGTTGTACTGATGTTCTGTGGCAACTTGAATCGATGCTTAATATATATATATATATATATATATATATATATATATATATATATATATATATTAGGTTCTATTTCGTTTATGATTAACTATATCGACAAAACTCATATAACATACATTGTGTAGTCCATACTTCTATGGTAATAATAAATAAATAGTTGAGAAGATAAAAGAACTTGTTCAATGTTACATGTTTATTTTATTAATGCGTTACCATGACCAACTTATCTAAAACCTTGATATTTGACAACCCAAACTTATCTCTTTAAATCATGAGGATAGTTTGAAGTGGATAATTTATTCTACGTCATTAAACATTGAATAAGACTATCCCAAGTCCTTTAGCTTAGTGGCTATATATTGCAATCCAATCAACAAAGTTTGATTGAATAAACAAACATGAAATTGATTATTGCTATTAAATGGTTAGATGAAAAACACTAATTATTCAGTGATAATCTAAATGCAACTACTGACTTACACGTGTGTTTGTATGTAATACGACGAAACATCACTTCATATTATTGTATTTTAGATAAAGCTTTGTGAAATGTATCGAGTAGCATGAAATTTAATTCCATGTTTTCTTGTGCATCGCTTTCAACCGCTTAACATAAATTTTTGTGCACACATTATTGAAACCATGAATCGATCAATGTTCGACCATCATTAGAACCTGGAAGCACTGAAAGACGGCCGTTTCGTCCTGGTATGGGACTCATGAGCAGTGCGCATCCGCGACTCCTGCACCTGACAGGATTCGAACCCAGGACCTTCGGTATTGTAAGCGAACGCCTAACCATTGGACCACTGAGCAGGTATCTAACGGTGTTAATGTCTAACTTGATCAATTCACTGCTGAGGAGTCCCATACCAGGACGAAATGGCCGTCCAAGCAGTGCTTCCAGGTTTCTAATGGTTTCCTAACATTGATCGATCCATGGTTTCAATAATGTGTGTAATTTAACAATCTTCACAACCCCGTAATGTAAATTGTTGTACATACATTTTTCGTTCAGTAGTATGATTTGAGATAAATTGGAGACTCTAGTATAGGCCGTGAATGATAAAAATTAATTAAACAAGACATTGTCTTAATTTTTGTTCTATAAATTACTTAAAAGTTAAAATGAAATATCTTGATTTCTTAATCAAAAATAATTTATAGAAAATGAAATTTGATTTGTAAGCATATGTATATTCTTGTTGTCCATGCTGAGGATTGAAATCGATCGATCTCGACTGATCTCTTCGGTAGTGTTATTTAGTTAGCTGTGGTTGTCACATTTCACGGCAGTATAAAAAAGAGAAAGAGGAAATCACTAAGACACTACTCAAAATAAATGAACTAGCAATTTCTTAGGAAATGCATTATTCACGCATTATATTTGTTACATATATGATCTCTGATGAGACGTCTGAGAAGATCAGAGAGCTTTGAAACAGTTGCTTCTATTATTATGTGACTTTTCGAGGGTTTGAATTCAAGATTTCGATGGTGACTAATCTAGGATTTTATGACCTCACGGCAAATGTCTGATCACTTCAGAAGACTTCTAAAGTTACGATACCAACTTAAATCAGTTCTTTGTATAGTCCAATGACAATTCAGTGCTATTGTGGTGTGAGCTACTTATAAGTAGTATATGACGCGAGTGACAACGTAATGTCTGGCAGCAGAAGATGGCGGAAGATCAAGAAAGGAAGAGTTAGAACACAATGGAATTTGTATGAAACGCATGAATAGTGACAATGGATTGATGTTTTGCAACAGGAACAGTCCAGTTCGATATGATGAACTGATATTTTGCAAATTAACGATTTACGATATGGTTTTCTGATTTTACTGAGTAACTCTGTAATTTCCGTTAAATACAATCCGGTTGGCCTCACCTACGTTCTCACTCACTACACTATGAGAGAACTATTTCACACCTTACGTATTTGAATTCTACCTATCATGACTTATTACTAGAACTTCTGGAACTAGTGAAAAGGCTGAAATAATTTAATTGGAGAGGTTTTGTAAAGATTGGTTGAATTTGTCTATTGCCTACGGGACTGTACTACATTTTGTCTGGAGGATAATGTAAGTGATAGGTGAAATATGTAGCTCAATTTATTAAAATTAATGATTATTATCTTGAAATAATATAGAGAAAAGCTATTCTACTAAGTATTTAATATTTATGTATAACCTTAAATTTACGCACTCAGTACTTATGCATTCTGAGTACTATTACAGTGCTCCAATGACCTTAAAATTTGCGATTAATTATTGTCTCACTTTGCTTACACTTTGAGAAGTCTACGGATTAGCATATATAATATGTATATATATATATATATATATATATATATATATATATATATATATATACTGTTTCGTTTCATTGCGGGACACTTTGGCAGTATTCACTCTGTACTCTCCGTTAGGTAACTGAACTGATAACCTTTGCCTTATGCACAAAAGCTTGATCTCTAAACCACTGAGCCATCATTGTCTAACCTCAGTTAGTTCACGGTATTGTATAACTATCACCCATTTCCTGAGGTAAATAACTGTCTCACATTCAACAAGGTTGAACTGTGCTGTTGTTCGAAAATATATGAAAGTTTTACAGTCTTAAAATACACCTATCGATCTTTATTCTGGACTCACTGAAAGTGGCTGCTTAAAATAGTTTGGAATAAAGTATTTATTGTATAAGATTACTTTAGCTCTCATTTTCGGTCGTGAATCGGGTATATGATATAACGTGATCTAGTCTGTCTATAGTGGATCGTACCCAAACTAGTAGGATCATGTATCCAGTTATTCAGTACAGTCCCCAACCTCGCTAGCAAGAATCGAACGCGAGACTTTCCATTTCACTGAAAAATGCTCGAACTCTTGAATGTGATTTCTCCTGTACTCTGTTTAGCTTATCAAGTATTCTTGCAAATTCAGTATGACTTGAAAATCGATAATGTGTCCTTTATACGAGTCGTTGCGCAAGCGAACTTTGAGTGCACAATATGCGATCAGGACGAAATGAGTTGTTACTCCATCCTTGAAGGACGAACCAATAATAACTCACCTTAATCAAACATGAAGAACAAAGACCATTGACCACTCGCTCAAGACTCGTTACTATATTTCAGACACTCGTGTATGTACACATATAACCAGACCATATCTCACTAATTAATGCGAATTAACAACTATATACATAAACACAAACAGAAATTGGTTGTGTGAGTATTGGTGTAGTGAACGAGAACAAAGGTGGGGCAACCGAATTGTATTTAACGAAGATTACAGAGTTACTCAGTAAAATCGGAAAATCATATCGTAAATTGTTCATTTGCAAAATATCAGTCCATCATATCGAACTGGACTGTTCCTGTTGCAAAACATCAACCCATTGTCTGACATTTCACTATTCATGCGTTTCATACAAAATCCATTGTGTTCTCTAACTCTTCCTTTCTTGATCTTCCCCCATCTTCTGGTGCCAGACATTACGTTGACGCTCACGTCATTTACTACTTATAAGTAGCTCGCACCACAATACTATTAATTTTTACCATGATATTGTTATAGGCAACTAGGATTGATGACCGAAATCAATCAAGCAATCCTTAAAGCTACAAACTATAATTGTTGTCTAAAACTTACCAGTAGCTGTGTTGTCATGTTCATTTCTCGTTGTTGTTTTTTTTGTTTTCTAAAAAGAAAATTTCTCTATACACAATGTCGAATTGTGTTTGTGATTTTAATCAAACCACTTTCCAGTGTATTTTATCATTTATCTATAGGATCAGTCAATGATCTATATGCTTGCTAGTTATATGAAATAGATGAATTATTGTTTAAAGTGGGTATGTGTTCTATTCCGTTTTGCAACTAGTTGCAACTGGTTGTATCTTATATTTCACATGTGATATTCACACTGAAACTCAAACCCGATACCTTGTCCTACTTACTTCAACTTTATTTTAGATAAGTTTTCTAGTCATACTGTAGTGAACGAGAACACAGGTGGGGCAACCGAATTGTATTTAACGAAGATTACAGAGTTACTCAGTAAAATCGGAAAATCATATCGTAAATTGTTCATTTGCAAAATATCAGTCCATCATATCGAACTGGACTGTTCCTGTTGCAAAACATCAACCCATTGTCTGACATTTCACTATTCATGCGTTTCATACAAAATCCATTGTGTTCTCTAACTCTTCCTTTCTTGATCTTCCCCCATCTTCTGGTGCCAGACATTACGTTGACGCTCACGTCATTTACTACTTATAAGTTGCGCGCACCACATTGGGAGATTGTAAATAATAAACTTTTTCAAAATGGGAACAGTAAATCGTATGATAATATAATATGGGTGTAATAGAAAGCACATGATAGAAGAGATGTGTGAACCTGATAGTCTAGTTGCTAAACAATTACAGTATTAGATAATATACACATCAATAGTTGATAAACTGGATTGCCAATGTTACTTATTTACTTTTGTCTTCATAGGGATATAATGACCGAAAATGGGTTTTTTTCTGTTTGGTTTAAATTAATTAGATTGATTTAATTTGGAAAAATACCAGTAAACGATTTGTACTGCATTTGTGTTTTATATATATATATATATATTTATGACAAAGCACATCACCTGTCATTCATTCCAGGAAACTATACGACATTAGACTTTTGTTAGTGACATATTTGAATTCGATATTCAATCTAACTATAGAGAGAGACAGAGTGAAATAAGTACATAACACTCAATTTTAATCCTCTCAAAATGAAATCGCAAACACTAAGAACAAAAGGAATCGTTCCATGATTATGAGTTGAGTTTTATTCACTCAATGATTTTGTGTATGAGAATATCTGTAACCATGAATCGATCATTGTTAGACCACCATTAGAAACCTGGGAGCACTGAAAGACGGCCGTTTCGTTCTGGTATGGGACTCATCAGCAGTGCGCATCCACGACTCCTGCACCCCGCGGAATTCAAACCCAGGTCCTTCGGTATTGTGCGCGAACGCCCTAACCGTTAGACCACTGAGCCAGTATCTAACGGTGTTAATGTCTAACTTGATCAAATTCACGGAGTTGCGCAACCTCATACCTTGTATACATCCGAACAGAATATCACCTTTGTCGAAATGGTTCTTTTTCGTTAGCTCTTAATTGAAGATCTTATTTTATAAATTTTTTTATTATTCAAACTATGAGTGTCGAAAGTAAATGTTTTTTGTTCAAGTTCTGTTTGTAGTAGTAAGAAGTGAAACAAGTGAAACTGTGACCATCTTCATTTATGGAAAGATAAACTTTCCATTTTTTCTTATATGATTCAGTAAACTGAAGTGATCTGTTTGAATGCTCTCTGTTGTTCATGTTTCAGTTCATGTGCATATAGAGTGCCCAATGCATTTCCAATTGGTTCATTGTTTCAATTCATCAACTGTTATTATTATAGCAAAGGAGTATCATGAATATGTGTGCGACGATTATTATTATTATTATTACTATTATAGATTAGTACAAACTAATGAAAACGTTTAACCAAATGATGATGATCATTTATGAAGACTGTATTATATAATTAGTCAGTCAGTCGGTCGTGTACAGAAAACAAAGTCTGCCTTATAGGTGATTTCATATTGTACTAAATATGTCATACTGATAAGTAGATTTTGAAAGATGGCTAGGTGGCTCTGTTTGATTCGACGTAGGGCTCTCTCCACTCTTGTGGCCGGTGATTTGACTGTGATATTTATGAACCAGTAAATGTGCTATGAAAATAAATCTCCATTTCAGTTTCCTTATATCATATCCCGCTTGTGTGATGGCGGTAATAAGAATCCAGATACGGTTTTTTACGGATGATTTTATCTCATGCAATCATTCATGCAGATAGACAGACAGACAGACATGAGAATACGAAGTGTGAAAACAAAGCGTAGCGAAGGGGAGAAGGCAAGTGAGCCAACTGCATACAATGAAGCATAACTAAGTATTCTTAGTCCAAAAAAATAAGCCAGATATGCGATAAGCGAAGCAAGTAATGCACACACACACATACTCGAATAAAACACAACCAAGGACATGAGTGAATCATAGACAAGGTCAAAAGACTTGTGAATAACTTGAGGAGAATGGATTGATTACATTTTCCCATGGCTGAGAGAAGTTTGACATATTAGTGCACACACGAAAATGGGATAATTTGAGTGATTAACACCTAACCACCATATGATGTGAAAATCATTCAAAAAAACCTTAATGATCGTAGTATATGAGATTTTATTTATAGGTTGACGTACAAATTCAATGAAATTAAGATGTAATTGGCGACCTTAGCTCTTATCTGCCAAAATGATTAACATTATAATAAGTGTTATCACTATCGCTATAGGAACGCACATTATTTATTGATCGATGCACAAATATTTGCAACCAATAGTGAGTAATTATTATTTAGACTTACTAATGATATTAATTCAAACATCGAAATTGAATTGATATGTTGTACAATCAATCCCATTTACTAATTTAATGAGTGCTAATTATTAAGGGATAATCCTTTCCAAAAGGCGCTACATGTCAGGTGTCTAGAGTAGTTATCTGAACATTTCATTGTACAGAAGAGCATTTCCGAGATAAAAATAACCCACTAACTAGTATTTTGGAAATTAGGCCTTGAAATATAATTTTTAAAATAAGTCACATTGTACTATATGAATTACTTACTCAATCAACGAATGAAAAATAAGAGTGGCTGAAAGTGCTACGTATTACGTCCATCATTTAAACCCTAAAGAATGCAAAAGATAACTTCTATATTAGAATTCTTACAACAGTGTACATGTATAAACTTGTTCTTTTTTTTCTACAGATAAAAAATTACGATGATGGATGTTTTTCTGTCTATATTATAAACAATCTGAAATAAATTAACATTGAACATTGAATGACATTTGTTTGTATGTATTAATTAGATTGAATGTTAAAGCATGACCTTGAAAAGGAAACATACTGACGATATATTTGACACTGAATTCATCGGTTTAATATTTGCCAAATTTTATATTTACAATTATTATTTATCTGAACTGAAATTAATAATACATTTAGGCACAGATTAATTAGTTCATGTGGGGATATTTTAATTATCTCGAATTGTTTATTCTTGGTAACTATAGAATTTAGAGAGAAGAAAAGCTTGTATATATACATGAATGGTACGATAGTATAAACAGATATCTTTGTTTAAAGCTTTATTATATATATTTATTATATATATATATATATATTAACAATAATATATATATATATATTATTGTTAAGAAATTCCATTTTAAGTGAGTATTATTATTATAATAAAAAAAGCTTATAAAATGATGAACATTATATAACGTATTAGTTACTTACTATTTGACCACTCTTCTGAATACATGACTAATAATGATCAAGTAGTTTACACCTTCTATAGTACTGCTTTAATTTACAGACAATGACTTAACTGAGTTATAATGTAGTGAAGGAGAACACCGGTCAGCGCAACCGAATTGTATTTATCGCACATAACAGAGTTAATTGGTAAAATAGAAAAACCATATCGTAAATCGTTAATTTGCAAAATATCAATCCATCATATCGAACTGGACTATTCCTGTTGCAAAACATCAATCCATTGTCTGACATTTCACTATTCATGCGTTTCATACAAATCCCATTGTGTTCCCGCTCTTCCTTTTTTTGATCTTCCCCCATCTTCTGCTGCAGCCAGACATTACGTTTTTACTCGCGTCATATACTACTTATAAGTAGCGCGCACCACAATAATACTACATCTTACTCCAGTGTTTGTAAATCAATCGTCCTTGTGTTTGTAAAGTTTTGTTTTTGTGTGTGTGTATAATTCTTGACGAAATGATAAACTTTTTTTATGTGATTAAACTGAAATTCAATCTTTTATGCGTTCCTTAAGATCAATAATAACAAGTGTTCCTTCAGAGTTAATCGATACAGTAGTAGTTTCATATTGCTTAAAATAAAAAAAAATCCCAGCACTTAATCAATTTATTATAAATGCCTTTAATTTTTTTTTTTTGAGTGCTAAACTTTTAACTGAACATTTGGTTTTGTTTTTTGGTTGAATTAACTTTTCTTTTAGACTTCATGTATTGTCAAATTCATGTATCTTGGTGTATCACGTACAGAGGAGTCGAAAATACAACAACATCCGATTATTGATCAACAAAGAAATCAACAAGAAAGAACAAATTTAATGAATAATAATAATAATAATCAATTATTGTCACGTTTAATCACCGTAATTCAACAGCCGAATGGTGGCAATACACATACTGTTTTCAAAGGTCTACTTCAACCTGGTGGTAAGTAGTTCTTAGGTTTATATTAGATTTATTTAAACAATTTGTCATATCAAGCAGTAACTAACTGTCATAAAATGCTCAAAAATATTTTGTGTTTGGGATTTTGTATTAGGAGTTACAGTTGGGGTTGAGAATTAAATTTTAGTGTAAGGATTAAAAGGAAAGACTGTATTGTAATCAGTCATACGAATTGAAACAGTCAGTCAGTACGTAGAACTTCGTACGTAAGTACATCAGTTCATGTTGTCATACCTTATCAGCACAGAGATGTAATTGTCAATTCAAATCCAATAGTAGAAGAGGTAGTAAAGGTATTAGAAGTAATCGGAAAGGTTAGGATTAGAAGATATTATTCAAGAAGTATGATTCAGTGAGAAAAGTTTAGAAAGTCAAAACTAGAGGTGTTGAAGAATCCAGAAGGTAAGTATTTGAGAGAACACAAAGAATAAATGCACCGGCGCCATTGCGAACGATTTTGAGACATGTCATTCAGGATCTCTAACCATCGATTATTATCATCTCGCGGACCCCAACCACGTAGCCTACATCTACCAACATGACTCAGTCCACTTGTCAGTGATTTCATGGATTGTTGCCATGTTTTGTTTTGGCCGCCCTTACCTTTTTTCCAACCTATTCCTACACTACAAAACAAAGCTCGTCGAGGCATTCGGTGGTTAGGCATACGTAACACATGTCCCAACCACCTCAACTGACGAAGTTTCAGCACTTCATCTATTGATCTGCCATTCTTACCTAGCACCCGTTGCCTAATAACAAACAGCGTTGCTCACTCGGTTGTCCCAGGATATACGAGCAATGCTTCGAAGACACCTATTATCGAAAACCAATAACCTGCGAATATCTTCTACTCTTAACGGCCATGTTTCACAGCCATAAAGCAGGACGGAGCGAACTACTGCGCAGTACACTCGTCCTTTAGTCAGCAAACGGATATCTCGCCTACGCCATAAGTGACGCAGGTTGGCAAAAGCCAATCGAAACTTCTGTATCCGTGCTGAGATTTCGTCAGTCACCAGGCCATCAGCACTGTATAGACTTCCAAGATAAGTGAAGCGGTCAACACGCCTGACTACTCCACTCGCTATCACTAGTTCACGTGTCGATGCAACCCAATCTTGAAGCAACATTTTGCATTTCGATGGTGAGAACCGCATCTCGAACATGCTTGCATTGTTGCTTAGGGTGGTCAGAAGACTCTGCATTTTGTCAGCGTCTTCACCAAATAGGACAATGTCATCGGCATATCGAAGCAGCCAGTTCTTTAATTCTAAAGAAGAATTTAAAAATATTAGTGTTTTGTTGTTTAGTGCTTCCATGAATATTTCTGTTGTGTTTTACATAACTATGAATACATAATTTTGATTTGAATCTGGCGCGAAAAGCTGAGGAAGCACCATTTGAAATCTGCGAAGTATTTTTTCTTTTTTTTTACCAAAAAATCTTATTTTGACATTGTACTGAAATTTAAGAATAAACTTTAAATTTTAGTTCAGTTGAATAATCTGTTAAAGAAGTTTAAATCATTTATTTGTCAACTTTTTAATATTCGACATCTAATTGGACAATCTTTGCTTCTAAGTAGTAATTTCAAGTAGATCGAGTGTGACTTTAGCCTTTGGTTGGTTTGCGTTTAAATCGAAGGTACCTGGTGTTCTGGGAGGGGGGATGTGAGGAGCACCGTACGAGATTTATCTGGAAGAAGAAGAAAGAACAAGAGAAAAATAAGATGACCCGACGACTCATTAAGCACATAGAATAATGCACTTACATGCAATATACGAATAAATACACAGCAACCAGATGATTTAAAGCCAGTGTGAGATTAAGACAAACTGATAAACGAAACTAGGAGTGGATAGAGTAACAAGGTTTCGAATGTGTTACAAGACTAACCTTTATTCAGGCAATTTGATAATTTTTTTTTCAAAAGTTTCATTTTAATATTAGTGGTTGCATAATTAGGCTTGTTGAATTTATTTCTATCATTACCTTTAGTTTAGAATATTCATAGAATGAAATAATGAAAGAACACTTGAATTCTAACAGCTTTAATGTGTCTGGTGACTGATTGTAAGCTTTGAATAGTAGTCAATGAGTGATATTCGATACACTAAATATATTAACTCCATTTTTTGTTACTGTTAGGATATTCATCAAATATCCTAAGAGAATTGTTTTTTTGTAAGTCTAATTCTATTATTGGTCAATATTATGGTCGTCCTAATTGTCAATGTCACAGACTTCAATGTTGTCTCCTATTCGACTTAAACTGTATAAATACGTATTATCTGTAACGTTTTATGACCTGGACCGGACCTGGATCCCTAGTTCGGGATCCTGAGTCTCTTCTGGACTCGGACCTCGTACTTTCTGGATGCATGTTGAATACAGGTTCTACGTCATATCAAGTCTTCTTCTTTTACTCAATTGTGGGGTTGGGACACTCGAATTAGGATAGCATGTTGTGTTTCTGGATCCTCGATCCTCGCTCTCGTTTACTGACTAAGGTGAACCTCTAATAGTTTGAGCCTATCAAATGACATGTTTACGTGCATGCGTAACAGTTTCACTCGTATTCCGTTTGTTTAGTTTAATTGGTTCGCTACATTGTATTGTAGGTCTGTAGTGAAGGAGAACACAGGTGGGGCAACCGAATCGTATTTAACGGAAATTACAGAGTTACTCAGTAAAATCGGAAAACCATATCGTAAATTGTTCATTTGCAAAATATCAGTCCATCATATCGAACTGGACTGTTCCTGTTGCAAAACATCAATCCATTGTCTGAAATTTCACTGTTCATGCTTTTCATACAAATTCCATTGTTTTCTAACTCTTCCTTTCTTGATCTTCCCCCATCTTTTGGTGCCAGACATTACGTTGACACTCACGTCATATACTACTTATAAGTAGCGCGCACCATAGGTCAATAAATTCATATTCTTAATCATATTTACTTCCCAGTCGAAACGCAGAAGTACGATCTGTTTATCGAGTGCCAAGTCTAGTCCATAGTGCTAGAATTCCGAACAATTCAATCCTTTCGCATTCGGGTACAATTAGACTCTAGCCCCCCCCCACTATTACAAATTCTGTTTCAGAGAGAAAACAAGCCATAGTTTCTGTATTGAACTGACAAGAACCCACGGCGGACCAGGGAAAATGTTGACATGCTTAATATTCTACCTCGGTAACTTTTATGGCTTTATACTAGCCATTACGCAAACGACCTTTGATCGAAAAATATGCAACAATGACGAAATGAATCGCTACTCCATCCTTGAAGGACGACCCAATGAAAAATCGCCTGAATCGAACATGAAGAACAAAGACCAATGACCACTTGTTCAAGACTCGTTACTATATTTCAGACACTCGTGTATGTACACATATAACCAGACCATATCTCACTAATTAATGCAAATTAACAACTATATACATAAGCACAAACAGAAATTGATTGTGTGAGTAGTGGGAGATTGTAAATGATAAACCTTTTTCAAAATAGGAAAGATAAATTGTATGATAATAAAATATGGGTGTATTAGAAAGCATATGATAGAAGAGATGTATGAACCTGATAGTCTAGTTGCTAAACAATTATAGACATTCATTAATAATGTGGTTGCCAATGTTACTTATTTACTTTTGTCTTCATCCGAATATGTCAGTTGTCCTTCGAAATGCTCATAGAGGACTCAGATAGTTATTAAGACTCTATGTTATTGATGAGAAATTCGATATTTAGATGCAGAATGAGTCCTAAACTGAACATAAAGCATATCCTTAATCATATAGTTGGTCATATGCATAAAACTGCCTTGTAGATTTTTATGCAGTTATTTTTCTTAGTGTTGCGTGCTACTGAAAAGTTTAATAAGTAGTATAAAAAAAATAATACGAAACAACTATTTTCACATTATTATCCATACTTTTTATTCAGATATTTTTCAGATTATTTCGAAGCGTGTATATGGTTTTCCATTTTCACTAACTTTTTACGTCGATGGTACACAGGATACACGTATTAGTGCATGTTGTGAATATCGATATAGGCAAGGAGCTCGTGTTGGTGGTAAACATGGCCATTTTATCTATTTTTCTGTTGAAGGTTCATTTCCATGCTACAAGTGAGTGAACTATTTTCCATTATGTACTTTAAAGTGGTTTGCGAAAATCTAATCTAATAATTTTCAATGAATTTGTTGTTTTTTCATTGTTCTTTTAGAAAATCTTCACAAAATTCCTTTTTGTTAATATTATTATGAGTAAAAATCATATCAAACAGTCAGGTCTTAATTCTTTGACATCTAAGTGAAATATCATTCTAAAATACACAGTTTGTTTCTGCTAGTGGTTTGTATCCAAACACATTACTTTATGATAAAACATAAATTATCCTTTATGCTTACGGTTTTGTCGTCGATTTACTTTTCTCCGGGTGCTCGAATCAATAAACCGGTCTCATAATCCTCAATAACTGATCTACACCATGTGATTGTTTGATATTTGTCGGTTGTATCATTGCTCCTTCGTTCTTATAATATGTATAACTTCAACACAACAAGTGTGTTACGAAAGAGGAGTTTGATAGACAGGATTTGGTAGCTTGAAATGACTGAACAGCAAACAGGATTCGGTTATTAACTCAAAAACTCGGATGGACTGATGTTAAAAATAAAGTCATTAGTCAAAAGAATAGATAGTTTTATCTAGCAGCAATAAAGATTCGTTAAGATGTCATAAATAATTGAGAAAATATCAGTTCTGTAGTTTATTCGCTTGTCAAATGGTTAAGACTTGACTTTTAGGCACATATTTCGTTTATCATATCATTGAAACAACGAGAGTTTTGTGCAAGTTGTTTAGTTTGAAGTAAATCCTCACCATGAACTGACGTTAATCTCAATCAAGAAATTTAGATTTAGTTAGTTTCTAAAAATGTTAACCCTCTACAACGTTAGAGATCAAATCCTGAATTCGGAAGCCTTACTCTAAGCACATTAATTTATTAGACCATAGAGTCAGTAATTGACATCTTACATATAGAACTTGAGTCGATTAGCAACCGTTTTGTAACACGCGTAATCAGCAGTCACTGAAGGGCAGAGATGATCTTAAATCACAACACACAAGGTTAGTTCAACGCCTCACACGAAGAGAGAACACGAAGTTGTTGTCACGGCACTCTTTTATTTGAAAACCAAATACGCGGGCTTTTTACAGTAATAGGGTGTGTAGTGTACCAATGTCTTATGAGTTATCCTGTAAGTTTAGAACACTCAGGGCTTGTTCTTCAGCTTCCAAAGCGTTTGTGTTTGATCGCCTTGAAACAGAAAGAAAACAGAACATAGTGATTTTGTCTCCGTTACAGTTTTGTATCTTTTTATGAATTTTTTATAATTCATTAAAACAACATTTCATGTATCTTAACGATAGACTGAATCTTGAAGTGCACCAACAACTCCCTTTCCATTGTGTGGCATTATCAAAAAAGTGAAACTTATCATCTCTTTCATGTTCCATGTTATAAACTAAATACTTTATAAGCGTCGAAGATAAAGGTCTTGATTTTCAAAAATTATCGATTCTAAACAGTTGATAAGAGTCTAACGATCTTTTCGAATTCTCCTTTCTTTCTCTTTTAAAGATGACACAGGGGCACTATGTGTACGATAAATCATGATTTTCTTGTCAATTTTAGTGTTATTCGAATTCGATCGATCAAGTTGTAAGTATGGTCATTAGTCTAAGTGATCTAATGGTGTTTTTAATATTAAACAACTAAAGATAGCCGACAGGTAACAGTCAGTGCCTGATCTAGGTTTTATACTACTAGTTAATATCCATCAGAAAGGTATACCAATCATGAAGTAGGTGTTAGCCACTACTGTCCTGAGTAGCTCTTTGATAACAGGTTAGACTGTTACAACAGAACGGTATAAATTCGTTTCCAATGATAAGCGTTTTTTATCCTAAAACATTATCGATAAAGCTTCATATCAAATGCCAGAAAGCAGGATCCGATGTTTTCTTTAAATTATTACTGATCTTATTTAAAATTTATCATCGATGAGAAAGGTGGATCCGATGCAGATGTGAGGGCGCGGATTGGCAAAGCAAGGGATGCATTTCTACAGTTGAAAAATATCTGCAACTCCAAACAACTTTCAACCAAAACCAAAATCAGGATTTCCAATACAAATGTCAAGACAGTTCTACTGTATGGAGCGGAAACTTGGAGAACTACCGAAGCCATCATCCAGAAGATACAAGTGTTTATGAACAGTTGTCTACGCAAAATACTTCGTATTCGTTGGCCAGACACGATCAGCAACAACGTACTGTAGGAGAGAACAAACAAGATTCCAGTGGAGGAGGAAATCAGGAAGAAGTGGTGGAAGTGGATAGGACACACACTACGAAAAGCTCCTAACTACGTCACGAGACAAGCCCTCACATGGAACCCTCGAGGCAAAAGGAAAAGAGGAAGGTCAAGGAACATATTATGCCGAGAAATCGAGAAAGATATGAGAGGAATGAACAAACATTGGACAGAACTGGAGAGGGAAGCCCAGGACAGAGTTGGTTGGAGAAAACTGGTTGGCGGCCTATGCTCGATTGGGGGTAACAGGCGTAAGTAAGTAAGTAAGTAAGTTATTTAAAATTTTGATAAAAGTCAATAAGAACTCTCTCTCTATTATTTTAAAAATAATCTGTATTTAGATGTAAAGCACTTAAAAAACTAAGACAACAACAAGCGAAAATGAAAAGAAAACAAAAAATCACCACTGATGAGAATAATGACAGAATACAGAATACGGAAGTAGACGAAGATGATGAAACTAGTGATGATTCGAAAGGTATTTTTTGAATGAAATTTCATGTTTTATTTTAAGTTTGAATTTCAATGATCAATTTATCTGTCATTATAATTAAGTTTACTTACTATCTAGAGAAGTAGTTATTATAAACATAGACAAGTTTGAAAATCATATTGAAATTGACTAAATTCACTGCAATGATCCAAATTTGTAGTTATTATCACTGAGTTCGGTTTCGTTTGGTACACTCGTTATCAGTAATTATTTATTCTGTTCCAGTTTATTTTATAGAATACAATTAAACTGGATATTAGTTTTATTCAGTTTTTATTTTGAATAGACATTTTGATAGTTAATTTCTTTTACATTCGATTTAAACTCGCAGCTATTTCAAATGGATTTGATTTTTTTAAATATACACTAACTGCTTACTTTTACAAAAATTCAATAGTATGATCTGCATAACAAAATTTTCACATTCAACTTTTTTTTTGAAATTCAAGCTTATGAAGATGATTTTGAAACAGAAGACATACAAATTCATAAAGATGGCGATGATGATTCAGTCAATTTTATTGATGAACAAGAACAAGAAGAAGAAGAAGAAGGAGAAGAAGAAGAAACTATAGAAGTTGTTCATCCGTCAGGAATAAATCAAGTAGACATAATCAAACTGGAGACTGAAAAAACACATTCACCTAATCACAATATAGGTTTAGGTAATTATTATCAGGTCTTTATTTTAATTATCTTTTTATCTCATTGTGTAAAAGAATAAGGTGATTTAAATTGTGTTCTT